TCCCTTGCTGCTTTTAATATGTATTCTTTGTATTTAATTTTTGACAGTTTGATTAATATGTGTCTTGGTGTGTTTCTCCTTGAATTTATCCTGTATGGGACTCTCAGTGCTTCCTGGACTTGATTAACTATTTCCTTTCCCATATTAGGGAAGTTTTCAACTATAATCTCTTCAAATATCTTCTCAGTCCCTTTCTTTTTCTCTTCTTCTTCTGGAACCCCTATAATTCGAATGTTGGTGCGTTTAATGTTGTCCCAGAGGTCTCTGAGACTGTCCTCAGTTCTTTACATTCTTTTTTCTTTATTGTGCTCTGCAGTAGTTATTTCCACTATTTTATCTTCCAGGTCACTTTTCCGTTCCTCTGCCTGAGTTATTCTGCTATTGATCCCTTGTAGAGTATTTTTAATTTCATTTATTGTGTTGTTCATCGTTGCTTGTTTCATCTTTAGTTCTTCTAGGTCCTTGTTAAATGTTTCCTGCATTTTCTCTATTCTATTTCCAAGATTTTGGATCATCTTTACTACCATTATTCTGAATTCTTTTTCAGGTAGACTGCCTATTTCCGCTTCATTTGTTAGGTCTGGTTTTTTATCTTGCTCCTTCATTTGCTGTGTGTTTTTCTGCCTTCTCATTTTGCTTATCTTACCATGTTTGGGGTCTCCTTTTTGCAGGCTGCAGATTCGTAGTTCCCGTTGTTTTTGGTGTCTGTCCCCAGTAGCTAAAGTTGGTTCAGTGGGTTGTGTAGGCTTCCTGGTGGAGGGGACTAGTGCCTGTGTTCTGGTGGATGAGGCTGGATTTTGTCTTTTTAGTGGGCAGGTCCACGTCTGGTGGTGTGTTTTGGGGTGTCTGTGGACTTATTATGATTCTAGGCAGCCTCTCTGCTAATGGATGGGGTTGTGTTCCTATCTTGTTAGTTGTTTGGCATAGGGTGTCCAGCACTGTAGCTTGCTGGTCGTTGAGTGCAGCTGGGTGTTTGTGTTGAGATGGAGATCTCTGGGAGATTTTCTCCGTTTGATATTACGTGGAGCTGGGAGGTCTCTTGTGGACTAGTGTCCTTAAGTTGGCTCTCCCACCTCAGAGGCACAGCATTGACTCCTGGCTGGAGTCCAAGAGCCTTTCATCCACACGGCTCAGAATAAAAGGGAGAAAAAGTAGAAAGAAAGAGAGAGAGGGAGGGAGGGAGGGAGGGAGGGAGGAAGGAAGGGAGAAAGAAAGGATAAAATAAAAGAAAGTAAGGTAAAATAAAATAAAAAAATAATTATTAAGAAAAAAACATTTTTTTAAAGTAAAAAAAAAAACAGACGGATAGAACCGTAGGACAAATGGTGAAAGCAAAGCTATACAGACAAAATCTCACACATAAGCGTATACATACACAGTCACAAAAAGAGGAAAAGGGGAAGAAATAATAAATCTTGCTCTCAAAGCCCACCTCCTCAATTTGGGATGATTCGTTGTCTATTCAGGTATTCCACAGTTGCAGGGTACATCAAGTTGATTGTGGAGATTTAACCCGCTGCTCCTGAGGCTGCTGGGAGAGAGTTCCCTTTCTCTTCTTTGTTCGCCCAGCTCCCGGGGTTCGGCTTTGGATTTGGCCCCGCCTCTGCGTGTAGGTCGCTGGAGGGCGAATGTTCTTCGCTCAGACAGGACGGCGTTAAAGGAGCCGCTGGTTCGGGGGCTCTGGCTCACTCAGGCCCGGGGGAGGGAGGGGCACGGAGGGCGGGGCGAGCCTGCGGCGGCAGAGGCCGGCGTGACGTTGCACCAGCGTGAGGCGCGCCGTGCGTTCTCCCGGGTAAGTTGTCCCTGGATCCCGGGACTCTGGCGGTGGCGGGCTGCACAGGTTGCCAGAGTGGAGTTGTGGAGAGTGACCTGTGCTCCCACACAGGCTTCTTGGTGGCGGCAGCAGCAGCTTTAGCGTCTCATGCCCATCTCTGGGGTTCGTGCTTTTAGCCGCGGTTCGCGCCCGTCTCTGGAGCTCCTTTAAGCAGCACTCTTAATCCCCTCTCCTCACGCACCAGGAAACAAAGAAGGAAGAAAAAGTCTCTTGCCTCTTCGGCAGGTCCAGACTTTTCCCCGGACTCCCTCCTGGCTAGCCGTGGTGCACTAACCCCTTCAGGCTGTGTTCACGCCACCAGTCCTCTCCCTGCGCTCCGACCGAAGCCCGAGCCTCAGCCCCCAGCCCCGCCCGCCCGGGCGGGTGAGCAGAGAAGCCTCTCGGGCTGTTGAGTGCCGGTCGGCACGGATCCTCTGTGCGTGAATCTCCCCGCTTTGGCCTCCGCACCCCTGTTGCTGTGCTCTCCTCCGCGGCCCTGAAGCTCCCGCCCTCCGCCACCCGCAGTCTCCTCCCGCGAAGGGGCTTCTGGTGTGTAGAAACCTTCCCTCCTTCACGGCTCCCTCCCACTGGTGCAGGTCCCGTCTCTATTCTTTTGTCTCTGTTTATTCTTTTTTCTTTTGCCCTACCCAGGGATGTGGGGAGTTTCTTGCCTTTTGGGAGGTCTGAGGTCTTCTGCCAGCGTTCAGTAGGTGTTCTGTAGGAGCTGTTCCACGTGTAGATGTATTTCTGATGTATCTGTGGGGAGGAAGGTGATCTCCGCGTCTTACTCTTCCGCCATCTTCCCCCCTCTTCCTCTGGTCTCTTCTTATAGAGCTGCATAGGCTCTTAATAAAATGTTACAGGCTTTAAATTTCAGAAGCGTTGTGGTGGGTACTTTCAAGAAGCAAACTTGGTTGTAGCTTTTCTTTCCCCATCTTCTGGAAATATAGGAACTATTTCTTATTTATTTTTATATTCTTAGAGCCTAGAACAGTACCTGGCAATATGGCTCAATAATAATTTGTCAAGTGATTGGTTGAATGAGTGAATGAATCAATCACTCAATCTAATAAAACTCTTTTGCTTTCTGGCCCACCCCATGTCTTCATTCAAGCGTTTGTCTGTCAAGTTTAAAGTGTCTGTGCTCACATTATGGTGCATTTGCTCGTGTTGTTCAACACCCTGAAAGGTGTACTACTTTAGAGTGGCATTCTGCTTTATTTAACAGGTTATAAGGTAGATAAATGGGTATATCAAGATGTTTAGGATTTCTTTTAATAAATTAGGGTAGTGGTTCTTAATGTGGTTAATGGAACAGTGCCAATCTGGCTACTTCAGAATTATCTGGGAAACTTGAAACAGTTCAAATTTCTGAGCCTTACTTCTGTATTTTTGAAAACTTCCTCAGGTGATTCTGATACTCAACCAGATTTGAGAATCGCTGCCTTATTCTTTAAAATAAGATCGAAACTTCTAAAATCCTAGCTATTGGCAATTACCCAGAAATAGATCCAGTAGTAGAGGCCCATTGAGAGTCTACTCAGGTAGCTTTTGGGAGGAAACTACTGGTCTCTCTGAAAGTTATACTTCTTAATGCAGGCATTCACCTAGTGCTTCTCTGGTCTTCCACCAACAGTGTATTTATTGCGTGTTCACTACCTCTTTCTCTGAATGAAAATTGGTACCCCTTTATCTTGGGATTTTGAGGCAGTTCTTATTTTAAATGAACTTCCCTCTTATTCTCACAAGTATAGATTAGCTACAAGGATCCATACTTTGGAGATGGAGTTCCATGCTCACAGAGATTATAAACCTGCCCAGTGACCTAAAGTTGGTGAGGGGAACTCAGGGTCATGTTTGTCTCATTATACCCTCTACTTCTCCTCCATGACTGTTGACTAAGGGTTTATACTGGCTCTGGAGCTCTGTATGCATTCCTCTAGTCCTTGCACCATCCCTGCAAAGAAAACAGTCTCTGGAGTCCTCCATTTTGTGGATGGAGTGTTTCAAGAGTTGATCATCCCCAGAACATTGCTGCTATTCAAATGCTGTTGCCCACTCTAGCAAAGACTGCTCTGTGTTCACTAAACCCCATTGCCTTTTCCTCATGGATGCACCCCTACACTACATTTCCCAGCATCCCTTGTAGTTAGATGTGACCATGTGACTGAGTTCTGGCCAATAGAATATGGGCAAAAATGATTACCCCACTTCCAAGCTTAGCCCATCAAGAAGCCCCAGTATTATCCTTTGGGCCTTTTCTCTTTTCCCATTGGCAGGCTGAATGCAGCAGATGAAAAAAGCCCTAGAAGATTCAGAAAAAGGCTTGACTAATTGGGTGGATCCTTGTCAGACAGTCCTAAGGTTTTCAGATGATTTTTTATAGCCGCGAGCCTCCCCTGACCAATACAGCTAGCTGCCCTGCCTTTGACCCACAGCCTCTGCAGCTGTAACACCAATCTCTGACCTGAGAGCCCCAGAGCAGTGGGCAAAGGAAAGAGGTCTCTCAAAGGAGCTGCCAGGAGGGCAATGTGACATAAGGAAAAACACAGGCTTGGAGCTGGAAGAAATGGGTTCAAATTCTCACTCTTTGTCTGATTGTGTAACCTAAACTAATTGCTTTTTAAGCCAGAGAGTCTTCCCCTGTGAAATGGGAATAACATGAGATGGCATATGTAAATGAATCTGGTAATGGAGCCCAGTAAATCTAAAGACTCTTCAGAAATGTAGCAAGAGTTTGGCAGAAACTGAAGGAAGTGTCAAAGAGGAACAGTTTGTAGCTTCAAATAGCAAGTCCAGAAAGTCGGAGGTACCCCCCATGGCTGTACCGGGCAGCATCCCGTGTGGCGGCTCTGTAGTGAGGGTTCTACGAGCATTATTACATCTGACCCTATGATGGCTCCAGGAGGCTCTTCTAGGTCACTTGCAGCTGAATAATTTTTTGAGACACTTTTTCCTGCTTCTTTCTTGTTTCAGGATAGTGATAGAATGTAAGTTTGATGAGGAGAGGGCTGCCATCTTTTCCCCACTGTACACGGAGCACCTACCACAGTGCCTGGTGCGTTGTATGTGCTGTGTTTCTACAGGACACATTGTATTTGGCTTAATGACTGACTCATCTCAGAGGATTAAAAGGGTAATTTGTTCCTTTGCTTTTGTCCTCGTGCCTTCCTCCTCTCACCTGCAGGTAGAATGGTCAAGCCTGTATGTTCAGACTTCTGGACAACTTTGCCTCTGGAGTTGTTTGATGGCTTTGTGGTTCAGCGTCGGAAAAAAAAAAAAAAGAGGAAGTTGCCAATTATTCAGAAGAAATCCCTTACCCAGGTTAGTACTTTGATTTAAAGAAGTAGAACTGGCTTTGAGACATAGATGGGAAGGTAGTAGCAAGTTCTTTCAGGGCTGGTGGCCCTATCCTGATCCCTGATAGAGCTCTGGGTAGACCAGAGCCTCTGATGGGGGCAGGGTGGGGGGAAAACAAGTGAATGCCTTTGGTTTGGACATAGAGTGCCAGGCAGGGTGGCCAATTCATCCTAATTTGCCCTGGACTTTCCTGGTTTTAAAACTGAAAGCCTTGCATCCTGGAGACCCCTTCAGTCCTGGGTAAACCTGGACAGTTGGTCACTACCCCCATGCTTGAGGATCTATAGGGGGAGATCATCCTGTCAATCATGGTGTGGGGGAAATGGAGCCTTCCACATTCAAATGGACCCTGAAGGCTCAGATGTTAAGAATTCAGTTTGCTGAGATGGACTAAAGAATAGAGGCCCTTCCCCCTGTTCTCTGGATGCACCAGTCTTCTGAGATTCATGAACATTCCTATGAGGGGCAGCTCATCCCCTGACCTTCCTCCACTCCCAACATGACAGAGAATACATTTCTTGCTTGCTAGTGAAGATCCAGAGGCAGATTTAATTTGGCTTCGAAAAAGAGGGCAATGTGATGTTTCTTATATCTTAGGAGGTGAGAGAGAACTCATATCAGTTATACAAGACTTGCCCAAAGGCCCAGAGCTAAATAATGGTAGAATTACTGCTTGAATAGAGCTCTATCTGGCCCAAATGTTGGTTTTCTTTCCATTCTACAGTACCTTAGGAGGCACAGTGGCCCTAAACACTGAATGAAAAGGAAAACAACAATTTGTTCATTCAAGTAGACTTTTGGACATGCTCTCATTCACAACTATCTTTTTCTTTGTTTCACTGGATTGATTTTATTTAGCCTACAGCATCTACATCCCTTCCTTCCAGTCCAAATTTCTCAGTCTTACTTTCAAGACTGCTGGCTTTAGCTCTAACCTACCTTTTCAGGAGTACAGCCCATGATGTCTTCCATGTACCCCATGCTTCAGCCAAGCAGGGCTCTCCATGCTTTCCCACCTCTACGTGTCTTTTGCTGTGCCCACTCCATGGAATGCTCTTTTTCTCCAACCTCCCTTATCAAGATCCTGCCATGCTTCAAATTCCCATGAAGACTTCCTTGATCCTTCCTTTCTGATACCCTGATTTAAATATGCCCTGCATTGATTTCGTGCCATAATAACTCATTCTGCTTACTAGAGGATTCCTTGAGGGCAGGACACAGACTATGCTGTTTTTTTTGTTTGTTTTTAAATAATCTCTGAGATAACCTAGCACAGCAATCTACACATAGTAGGCACTCTGTAAATACTTGATGAAATGCAGTGCGGAGGATTAAAGGAGAAGGGAAATCTTTAGATTTTCCGTAGAGTGTGACTTGGAATTGGGACAAAAGCTAATTTGATGGAATATGTTTGAGGAAAATCGGGTGGGAAAAAACAGATAATAGACGCTGAAGTGAAAGAGTAAGGCCAGCAGCCCATTTCATTCTAAGAGTGTCCCTGAAAGTCTCAGAAGGAGCCAGAGACTGATCTTTCTGACCTTAATCCAAGTGTCAGGACACAGCTCCCTGTGGGTGGAAGCCCACTCCAAGGCTCTGCTTCCAGCCTGCAGTTAACTAGGGAAAGCAGTCAATCAGAGAATGTGCTGGATCTGATCTCCTGGCTGCTGAATTCATTGAGGTCCGTACTTCAAAGTGCTGGGGATGTCAGTTACATAAAGTTGTACGGCATTTTCTTCTATCCTGGGATGAGGGGAGGGTAATGGGGGAAGGAAGAGGGAAGGGGCGCGGCTATCAGCCCAAGAGAACTGCTGCAGGAGCTAGTGCTCTGCCTTGCCTCACCACACACATCTCCTCCAAATGTGCCCTTGATGTTGCATTCTCCAACCCAAACAAAAACCTGGAGAAAAAATGATTTTGTGGCTAGCTCTGTTTTCAATACCGTGGAACATTTGCCGGCCTGGTGATCCATCACCAGACTTTTTTTTAACCCTGCAAGATGGCCACTTGCCTTTTTTATCGGCATGTTTGCATCCATGTTGCTACTTACTTTCTCTTGAGGCCAAGTTTTCTTTCTTTTTTTTTCCCCTGATTTTTGCCATCTGTGCCATATTTCTTTAGAGTTTTTCTTCTCTAATCCCCTCCTTAGTGCCAGGAGAAGTAATACCAATGGGCTGGAGAGATTCCAATGCTTGATGCACAGAACTGGCTAAAAATCTCAACAATATCACTTCACATACATTCTGGAAACTTCGCTCTTTCATGTTTGCAAGTGGGCATGTAGCATGGGCTGCATGAAGAAGGTAAGGCTCACAAATTCAGCCCTACTCAGAGGCCGGTGAGCTCCCTGCTCTTAGAATGTGGACCAGTAGTCCCTGCTGCTGCCCAAAGACCTGGGAGACAAGAAGCTCCCAGTGATGTGAGGTGGCCAGGCCTAGGAATGACAATTCTAATTAAGAGAAATAAAAACCTCACTCTTTTCTCAGGTGTTGAACTCTGTCTAAAGTCAGGAGTTATGAAATCTGTGAAGCTTAGGACTCATCTACATCTTAAGAGAGCTGTGGAGACTCCCTTTTCACATTAAATTGTCATGTGGTAGGTAGAAAGAGGCTGAGACTCATACTTTCACCAAATAGCTTAGTGGTCTTGGGCAAGTCTCTGGATCTTAATTTCTTTATTCATAAACTGTAAGAGTTGGGGAAGTGCATGATTCTATATTAGGGGTCTATATTTCATGATGTCCTCTCACATATTTTGATTGGATTGGTATGAAAAGCAGGGTCTAACAACTGGAATGCAAAATTTTATAGGGCTAAGGAAGTTTGTCCATTTTTTTTTCCTTTTCTTTTTCTCTCCACTTTCATGCATGTCTACTTCTTGCTTCCAACTGGGAGAATCAATTCTATGACCACATAAAAGTCTCCTTAGGCCCAATATCTTAGGCTACTTTGGTAGTTCATAAAAGACGATCAAAGTTTTAGCTCTGTCTACCTGAGGCTCCCAGGCCAAACTAGAACTGAATGTTCTAATTTGTATTGAATTGTTTGCCAAGCAAATATGAAGCTCTTTCGATGTAAACTGGAGTATTCACACCAACATGGTTCCTAGCAGCAGGCAGGCAGACCAGATCCAACTAGGATCCTGCCTGCTTCCAGTAGCTCTGTATTGCTGTTGATGTCAGTTAGTCCAACTTGACCCCATGGGATGTTCAAGGTTCACCATCATTGGTTTTCAGTGTATTGTGTCAAAGGCCAGGGCTGCCAGATGCCTGACTTTGTGAAAAAGGATGAAATCTGAAAAAGGCTCTGTCTGGGTGTTAGGATGTTTAGAATGTTTGTAAGCATGGTATAAAGACAGATGTCATTATAGCCAGAGAGTCAATCAATATTTATTGAGAACCTGTTTTAGGTGCTGGGGATATAGCAGTGGTAATATTTCTTTTTTTTTTTTTTTTTTTTTTTCGGTACGCGGGCCTCTCACTGTTGTGGCCTGTCCAGTTGCGGAGCACAGGCTCCAGACGCACAGGCTCAGCGGCCATGGCTCACGGGCGGTAATATTTCTTGAAGTGTTATTTGCCCTTTTCAGGTTTTCCCAAGGAATCTAGATTTTCAATTAATCGTCTCAAGCACACTGGTTACTGTTCTACAATCGTAAGGGAGAGTAACTGAGCAGCTTTCCTTTCTAGAATTTCCGGGAGCTTCTTACAAGGATTAGTTGTTTAACAAACAACTAATATCTGACTTTGATTAAGGGTTCTAGGTGTCAGTGTTTCTCTGTACACTAATTCTCAGGACCTTCTTTCCAACTGAAGCGTGGAAAGTACACAAGTCAGTTAAAAAAATCTTCAAATATAAAATCAAGTAAGTAGTCTTTGGTATCTTATGGGATGCATAATGAACACGAGCTGGCCGTTTGGTGCATTTGGGCATGGATTGAAGTTGATGCTAATGGTAGCACATCTATATCTTGGGAACTGGGCTCCCTAGAGACCTCCTGGGTAAGGAATGCCTCGGCTCAGGACCGGCCCTGACATTTTGGCAGAAGTGCTAAAGAGAAGCTGTCTCTCACTCTGAGGTTTTTCAGTCCATAAAGCAGCAGCAATTTAGTTGTGGAAGACCCCGGCAGAAACAACATAAGAAAACTGAAAACACATAAGCACATTTGCCGAGTTTAATAGCCCTGCTCTGGCTCTCCACCTCCGGTACCTTAGGCATAAATTGCTGACCTCTATTTGATTTTCTGAACTGCAAGAATTATGGGCCCAAAGTTCAGTGAATTGGAAGAGGTAAGCTTTTATGCCTCTGAGTCAGCTTCCCCATAAACATTAAGTCTACAAATAAAAGCAACATTTCTATTTATACTTCCTGGGGTTTGTGTATCAGACGAGCCAAGCACGTCCCTGCAGCTCGACGAAGGTGACTGCATGATCAAATCTCTGTCCAGGTAACGCGACGGAGCCTTCCAGTTTGGGTCAGAGGAAATAACCAGAGCAGATGGACAAGAGATATTAAAAATAACACACGCAATTTCATTCGGAAAAGGGCACCTGCTCAAACAGTGACTGATTTACTCTCGGTGGTGTTTGTTTGATTCTCCTCCTGGCCACTGGTGACAAATGTGTGCTAGGGGAAGTCTTATGTTCAGACCCTTCCTGGGCACTCACCTTTAATGATGGCCAAGGACCTGAAGGGCAACCCAGCTTCCTGTGCCCACCTGGCCGTGGGTCAACACAGCATCACCCTCATACTCCAGACGCAGCAGGAGCGTAATTCTGGCTGCTGCCACGCATGCAGGTGATCCAGACATCCACGTCATGTTTTCTTTGTGGCCTTGCCTGACTTTCTGCTCCATGCCTCTTGTATCCCCCTCGGCCTCTGTTTTTGTCTCCATCTCTGGTGCCCAGCATCAGCATAATCATTTGATTCCACACACATGTATTGAAGACCACCCCCTGGTGGGGAGGGGGC